GTTAAAAGTGGGCTAGAAAAGAAGATGGAGAAAGCATATGCACATGATGACAAGTCTTAGTCGCAAACCTGTTCAGAACTCCACCAAGAGCACATGGGATCAAAACATCACATTCATGTACAAGCAAATCATTTGGATCCAAGGCATCTCCACCGCTGAAATTAGCTAGCTTTCCAGTTGTATCTTTATGAGTTAGCAGTCCTGGAATATCAATCCCGCTGGGGTTCTTAAGTCCTCCTGTTATATCGCTCACTGCAACAACTTTCCCACCTTTCTCATGAATAAGCTTTGCAGCCCAAGATCCAACATTGCCAAACCCCTAAGCAACACATGGTTTCATTACCAGCTCAGCTTGCATGAGAATTTGTACAATGTATAGTTGATGTACATGATGATATAACTTAAGGACTGAATTAGTACTTGAATGGCAAATGTCATGTCTTTAATTGACTTCCCATGTTCAGCAAGTAATGCTTCAGTGGCAAACACAACACCACGCCCAGTTGCAGCCTCCCTGCCTAAAGATCCACCAAGATCCTAGCATAACAAGCATGAATTTAATTCACCCCTTAGTTATATGGCAAATCATAAAACATCCTCATGATCTAACTGGACATAGTCTGCGCATTCTTTTTAATACCAAAGTACTTACGATGGGCTTTCCTGTTACAATAGCAGGTGAATGACCGTGAAACTTCGAATACTCATCCAAAATCCATGCCATTGTCTGATCATTCAAATTTTTAAAATTGTAAAGCGTCCAAGGATATATATAATCCAGATCAAAAAAAGAAGCATATAAGGATATATACATATATATATATAATTGAGATCCAAGAAATAAGAATAGTTAACCACTTCTGTAAAAGCAATCTATCTATTAATGGGTAGTAGAAATTTCTATACCTGGGCATTAGTGCCCATGTCTGGTGCAGGAACATCAGTATTAATTCCAATAAGATCGTGAATCTTCTGTGTGAAGACACGTGTAAGGCGCTCCAACTCACTCGTACTTAATTCCTTAGGAGTGCACCCAATCCCACCTTTAGCTCCGCCATATGGAATGTCAGCTACAGCAGTCTTCCAAGTCATTAATTGAGCAAGAGCATTGACTTCATCAGGATCCACCTAGCAGAAGCACATCAATAAATGCATAAGAAACAAAGTCTATTGTCCAGAATTCAATACACTTTTTAGCGCTTTTCTCGCTTTACCAGCACATCAAAGATAAATCTTCGTTAAAACATACTTTAAACTTAACTCAAACGAGCAAACTGTAATGTTTTCTCTGCAAACAAATACTATGAAAACTTATAATCATTCATATGAGATTCAATTTTAACTACCCAAAAGCAAAACTAGAGGCACTCAAGCAGGATGGGGAAGGATTACAATCTCAAAGACAATTTTCTGAAGACAGAAACAGAAGTGCATGAATGATTATCAAGTTGAAACAGCCCATCTATGCAATAAAGGCGAACAGTTCATCATGTATCACCTAGTTGGGTAGTTGGATTTGCCAAATGCTCACGCCCAACTCCAAGCATAATGAATGGATACAAACTGGGACTAATTGGAATGTTACAGTACATCTGAGCATGACATCCTGTTTCGGTGATGCTAAAAACAACAACAGTAACAGATGATACAAAACCACATACTAAACTTTTCTTTCTTTCAAATTCACATCAGTGTATGCATAAATCCTGCATAGGATCTCTTTCTTACAAACTACATTACAACTCACGATCCTTACTCATAGGGGCTCCATTGTTCAGCTTTTGCTAAAAGGCCTCCAACCACTTCCAGGAGGAGAGAGGTTTACAGCATTTTCTCAAATTTGTAACTTCTCATTTCGATCAAACAATCAACACAACACTGTACCCCGACCTCCGCACCCCAACCCCAAGAACCCAGTACAATATAACAGAATAAATTTGAATAAGGTGTCATGCTGCTGGCTAGCGATACTAAACAGATCTCAGGTGAACCACAAACATTTAAGGATCCTAAAACCATATCCCGTGATCATATAATCAATTTCAGCTGCAATGAAACACATGCATGATTCAAGTGGGTGAATGCCGAACCATGAAACAAAGACATGAACGACCAAACAAGAAGAGAAAAACAAACGCCGATCTTGTAAAAGCTTAGATTTTGGGAAATAAAAAATGAAGAGAAAAAGATCACCTCAGGATGGTATCTGATGCCTCCCTTCATGGGTCCACGAGAATTATCATGTTGCACTCTGAATCCAACAAAAGACACCAGACCTCCATCATCTTTTGGAATGGTACACTCAACCTGATCACACCCCATCAAAGAAACGTTCTTAAGCCACCCCCTCCGAAAAAAAAGACAAAAAAAAAAAAAAGAACAACATGATTCAAAAGGCAAAAATTCTTTCGAGTGTTACCTTGATTTCCCTGAATGGAATCAAAAGACTTTTCTCAATCTTTGAATCAAGGCCAAGAATACGGGCCGCTTGGCGAAAGTTACGATTGGTGGCTGCAAGTGCATTCATGGCTGCTCCTATAAAAATGAAACAGAAAAAGAGCAAATGTTCTGGTAGTTTAGCTATACTATTCAATCTACAGTCTCTACTCAAGGCCAAGCATACCCATAAATAAATGTCTATATATATGTATATGTATATATACGCGGAGTACTTTTGACTTTTGAGAGATGCTGGGGAGGGCAGGGACTTGGCCGGGGTTACCGGATGGGGATAAATGTTGACTGGGACGGGAGTCAGATTGGACGATCACAGCAGTCACATAGCTGTTTTAAGGGAAGTCAATTGGTTTAAGGGAAACGCACGAGGAAATTTGGCAGGAAAAAATATATATATATAAATAAATAAATAAATAAATAAATAAAAACGTAACCACTAAGCAGGTCTGGGCGACCAACCTCACTTTTCAGGAATTCCGGAGATGCCCCTTTTCGTGTAATAAACGGGAGATTCGACAGAGCCGTTAAGGCACTAATCACTATGTCATTAGTTTAATACGATTGTTAAAATGAATACTCTATCTCCAGGGTATGATTATGATTATATATTCAACAAAATCTTTTGGTACCTTAGAATTTCCATTGAACATTTATCTATTAGCAAACTCCCTCCAAATCTTTAATAGAAACCGCCAACAAAAATTAAAAAATAAAAATACAATAGTACATCTTGAAGTTATAGTGGAATCGAAGATATGGCGCTTAAACAAACTATTCCCTCCGTCCTATTTTAATAGTCTTTTTTTTATTCATTCTTCTCAAATTATACTCCACTTTTCAATTAAAAAATATAATTAACTTATAAATTTTCTAAAATACCCTTATTTAATGTACTTTATTATTAATGAGTATAATCTATATTATTCATTAATTGCTTGGATTCATGTCTTGAATGATGCAACTTTCCATAGTATTGTTATTGTAATTAATGTAAATATATAGTAATTAGTCATACACTTGATAATATTAATGTAAGAATGTTTTAGAAAATAGTAGATTAGATTTACTCTTTCAATAAAATTAACTAATTTTTTTCAAACTGTGTGAAAAAGAAAACAAAAACTATTAAAGTAGGATAGAGGAGATTATTAACGTGTGTGTCGCAATTAACAAAAAAGACTATTCGGTTGAAAGCATAATTTGGCAAGGAAAGTGATTTTGAAGGATGAAGACATTAAAACAACCGTAGACCAGTGTGCCTTTGATGGATTAAATTTGGCTGATAACCTGCCTTATTCATTAATTGTTTTGATTCGTGCCTTGAATGGTGCAACTTTTCATCATATTGTTATTGTAATTAATGTAAATGTATAGTAATTAGTCATACTCTTGCTACTATTAATGTAAGGGTATTTTAGAAAAATAAAAGAATAAGTTAACTAATTTTTCTCAAACTGTATTAAAAAGAAAACAAAAACTATCAAAGCAGGACGGAGGGGATTTATTAAACTGTGTCGCAATTAACAAAAAAGGACTACTCGGTTGGAAGCATAATTTGGCACGGAAAGTGATCTTGGAGGATGAAGACATTTAAAACACCGGAGACCAATAATAAATGTGTCTTTGATGGATTAAAACACTAAACTCGCGCACCACGCGGATTCAACTGCATATACGTGTAAAACAATCAGCAAGTTAGGAATACAGTCCAATCAAAGCCCCGATACTCGATTAGTTGATAACAAAATTTACAGCGTCATCCCGAACATAAAAAAGACACTAGGAAACAAAAAAAAAAAAAAAAAAGATAAATTGGTAATTATACTTGTGCAAAAAACTCTTCTATCCTCCAAAATATAGGGAAAACGTTCAGACTTCATCGCACAGCTGTAGTAGTTAAATCCAAATTGATGTTTGGATTATCATTTAGCTGCTTTGATTATTTCAATCACACGTGTTTGTTGTTGCCTTATTTTTCACAGTTGTATGATTTTTCAAATATTTTACTCAAACAATCCTACTCTGAACCGTATTTATATTTGGACCTACTCAATTCAGTCCCACCTCGCATTCATATTTGGACCGTTGCCACCTGTTGGGGCTGCGGGAACGTTATCCGCCGGCAGCTCTACATGAATCACGAATGACGATTACTGCCACCCCTGATACGGATTCATGGACGGAGCCCACCAACGAAGACGCCGCGCAGCGCCAACGCACTGGATGACGTGGATCTTACGAGGAAGGAAAATCGTTTTCCATGACGAGATTGATTGATACTAGTAATTTAACCCCCCAAAAAAAAAAAAAAGAAGAGAGCACGTGGCATTGCGGTTGGACGCTGCGAGCCACCGACGTTCTCATCTCACCAAACACCGGAAGCTAGTGCTACGCTGGACCAATAATTGATTAACAATTTTTGGGAATTAGTAAACGCAGATTTGGTCAACGGCGGAGACGGACATGGATAAGGCCATCGAGCAGTAGTACGTGGAGACTTTTTTTTTTTTGAAGGAAGACCATGATGATGATGGTGAGATTGACCAAAAAAAAAAATAATAATAATAATTGGAAAATTTAGGCAAGTTTGTAAAAGTCATCTCTACAATTTGTTCGAATCTCAGGTCAAATTCTGTTCATTATTCGTGGCTTTCCTTGAGTACTGATGATGGAAGGAATGCAACACATGGTGTTAATGAATCATGCAACCATGAACCAGAATCGAGAAAATGAGATTTCAAATGGGACTAAGGTTACACTAGCTCCAGCTCTGTTACGTCTGTACAACTGGAAAGCCCCAAAAAAGTAGGGAGAATAAGCACAACCAGATGTTTGCCTGAGTCCAGTTTTTTCAAGAAGGCAGCTTTTATTTGCAGCACATTTGAATAATCTTGTCTCTCCAACCAGGATCCTAAAAGCTAACAAGCTTTCAGAAGCAACAGGAAGAGAGTGCTGCATCCATCCATCCATATTCACCTGCAACGTAAATACAGGAGCACAAGGGAACTTTAGCCTTCTCGCGTACACAAATATTACAATTCTTGTTCAACTCTAAAGGTGAAAAGACACAGTGTACTACTTCGCTCTAGTAGTAGTATTGTCTCAAAAGTAAACACTTGTTTTTTAACATATCACGCGGAAAGTTCTCAACGACAAACCAACAATTACATCTTGAGTTCTAAGCAGCCTAAACGATCAAGAAAAACAAAATGGAATCTATTTACGAGCACTCAGACCTTAATGAAACTCTAATATTAGAGGAAACATGCCAACTGAAAGTGCGATGTAGCAGCAACCGTTGAAACTTAATTGAGCACTCAATACTTACTGTTTTCTAATATAACTTCAAAAACAGACAATCATCCATAAAAATCAAATTTAAAGATAACTTATAAATCCGAATATTTACCAACAATGATGAAATAACTGACGCACTCGTTTCCATTCTCTGTACAATCACATGCTTTCTCGGTATTATGCTGTTAAATGGACTAAAGTTGGGTGCATTACCAGATTTCTGTATGAGCAATGTCCAACCAAGCAGCTCAGATATTTGCTCACTCAAACAACAAATTGCACTCAGTACTCATTTGAGAGGTGATATGAAGCAGCATTTATCATCATTGACAAAAATTTATTTGGCATATTTCACCATCAACTTTTGGATCTGCAGCAGAAGCACTAACAGTTTTGGGAAACAAAACAGAATGTGAACAAGCATGGAGAACAGATGGGAATAACAAATAATATTCTTTAGTTCTTTCTCTCCGGCCAGTAGAGATGTACACAAATGCGAAACCCGAAAAATACATAACCATCACAACATATTCATTGCACGAACCCTACTGAAATTTCAGAATTGATGAAGAAATTATCTGGACACGCACTGTACCTCAATCTAGTCAAGCCCAAGAGTGTAAAGATATCAGTACCTTCAATAGTTTATCCCATGCACAACACAGTTGCTCAGAGATGAATGTAGTGTCATCCATCTTTCCTGTCAAAAATAAAAATTGTTTAGATAAGATGAGTTGTTAAGTGCCTTGTGTAGTAAGTTGCTTAATACGTATGCGGCTAAAAGGACTCAGTTGGATAAATGTTCGAAGTCAAAGATAAAGCAACAATAGAAATGACAAGATTATACTTTCTCTTTCTTCGATCAACCCCACTGTTTCTGGGATCATTCTTCGGAAAAGCAGATCCAGAGGGAATGGCATATTGCATTGGAGAGAGTGCTGAAGCTGCTGGAGAAGGTACAGGACCAGGAGAAGGAGCAGATAAAGTTGTAGGTGGTCCAGGTGGAGGTGGAACTGGAGTGGGAATAGATGGAGCAGCACTAGGTTCAGGAAGGGGCCTTGGAAGGATATGCTTCAATCGGTTGTTTCGATAGTTCTTCCAAAAATAGAACTGCTGCCTATGTGCCAATTCCTACAATGTCCAGAGTGTACACCAAAAAGATACGTTGAGGAACCAAAGCATTGCATATCAATGAACACAAAAGAGGAATAGAATTCTATATAATTTTACTGAGTTTCCTTGTTCTCATACAATTTTGGCTTTTGCAATCATGTTGGAGACAACTACATTTTTAACAAAAAGCCTATATCAACCTAATAACTGAGGATCAATTGTTTTGGCTTTCCCAATCTCTTCAAGACTTAAAAGCCAAATTACCATATACAGCAAGAAATGTTCCTCAATCATAGCATCCATAATATGGGTCTACAATCCCAGCAAGTTAGATGTAGGCCATTCATCAAGAAAATTCCAGAGCATTTTTACTTTCTACCTCATTTAGCAACCTAGAAAAAACTTTTCCATCCCCTGACTGAGGCTCCTTCCGAGCAGTATGTACAAATGTACTAAACATGCTTCCTCTAACCAACAGAGTCAACTAGAGTGAATATAAAATTTCAAAAACTTGCTTTCATAATAAGTAAGAATACAAGAGATTAATCCTCAGAAATTCAACCAAGTAGCAACATTTCTCTTTATAATCCAAAAAAATCCATCTTAGTGAAGGATGATGGGACAATCATCTTCTTTTACATGTCACCTCATCTATTAATTATTACTTTTCATTTATTAAGAATTGGCCTTACCAAAGTAAAAGAAATGCTGGAAGACTTAAAGAGTTCAAATCCAAATACATACCACTCATCCAAAAGATCTAGTTCCAAACACCCAAAGAAGGGTTGTATAATGCAGAAGTCAAGGTTCAATTAAAACCAGAATGAAATTGTTTGAACCCAGGCAGCTATAATTTGAATCCAACATCATTTCCAGGATATGTTCATTGATATTTTACTCAAAATCACCATAAAATTGACGTCGAACGAGGACAATCAAGATTAAGATATTCAATTAATCGAGAAAACAAGAGTCTAACCCAGAGCTCTATTTATTCTCATTTTTACGGTTATAAGTTCCTTGCATATGATTTATGGATTAATTATGAGAAAGCACTGGAGTGACTGGAGGAGCTATATGAAGAAGCCCCCCCCCCCCCAAAAAAAAAAAAAAACTAAACAAAAAATGACAGTAATTAGCATCAATTTTTTGTCATACCATTAATTCAATCGCAGTAAAAGATGACAATGCCTTGCATTTCTTTCTTTTCAACAATAAATGCGCTTGGAGAAGAAGCAGAAAGCAAGGGCATAGGAAATTAGACAGACTCCTACTACACAACATAAACATAAGGAAAAAGGAGATATGGAATACGCAAATAGGTCTTGAAAATCCAGACCTTGTTGGCAGGATGGGCCATTGCATTCCGAAAGTTGGGATTTTGGAGAAGCCCGAGAAAGAAAAGGCAATGGGGATACCTAAAGACAATTCCCAAAAAAATGAGCACTCATACAGCCAAAGTATAAAGCCTACAAGAAATTAGCAGGGGAGCTCCATAGAAAAAGCAACAGAACTTCTAAACTCACATGATAAACTTAATGTACTCCGGGAGTTGCCAATACTGGAGATACTTCAAATACCCAATAAATGCTTCATCTTCAAAATATCGATTCTGCGCTAAATCTATAGCAGAATTTTCAAATTGAACTGAGTACACCATACAACTTCAACACAAATACATACTAATTAAATACTACTAGTAGCATAGTATACATAATAAGCACAGTAAACCACGTAAAATCCAAGCCCATAGCATTCTCCTTCCATAGTTCTTAGCTCTACCGGAAAGTAACAGAACTATCATTTTTGCAACATACCAGCAAACTCGACAGATTAACTAGTGCTAAAAATTTTTAAAAAAGAGACGATTTTATGATCGAACTACGGATAATAAAAGTGAAAAGTAATGGGAGGAAGAAGAAGAAGACGATACAGTGGATGTAAGTGGGATTAGCGAGGCATTGAACGAATTCCAATTCAAGTAAGAAGCGTTGCCGACCATCATCTGGATCTTTATATACACTCTTCTTCGGCCTGAAATCACGGATTTATATTTTCATTTACAAAGAGCAAAAAAAAAAAATCTTTTAAAAAACAATCTTAAAATTTGGGTAATTCAGATTGGGACGCATTATTCTCGCACAATGGGTTATCTTACGAGGAAGGTGGCTTTTCAGAGTCGTTGGCATCATTATTGGAAGCCATTACTGGGTTTCTTCTTGTGGCTAAACTAAAGCCCTAAATTGCATACTCTCGTTTCGAGACCTTTTTTCTGGAGAAGAGGAGTCGAAACGGTATTCGTTAGACAACTATTTGAGTCGATTAATTACCACGTTGGTGAAGCAAATTCTTAATCAAAACATTCTTATCTTTCAGGAGTATTTTTTTTTTCAGGTTTTAAACGTCGTTAATTTTGTTTCCCTTTTTCACAATTACATACAGTCGTGGGTTTTCAATATAAATATATGGGATAATTTCAGAAATCTCAGGGGAGGTTTCTGACAGTTTCACTCACCTCCCTTGAACTTTACAAAATATCGGCCACCTCCCCTAAAACTCAATAGAGTATATCAAATCTGACCCAATTCAAATGCACAAACAATTTTAAATATGTATCAGGAGAGAGAAAAAAACTTCATCCCTTATCTGCTCTCAAGATTATCATTAGTGATTTAGGCCTTGTTTGGCACTTGAATTTTTTGCTAAATTTGTGTACTACAAGTTTTTTAAAAACTTTAATTACAGTAACATATCAAAAAACTTTCAAAGTTTTTAAACTATGCACTTCATAATATTCAAAATTATACACATTTCAAAAATTTTTTTAAAATTTCTACAGTAAACTACAATAAAATTTTAGACAAACACCTAAAAATTCACTTGTCAAACGGGGCTTCATTTTTGTTGAACAGTACAAACCATCTAACAACAATGAAATTTCAGGGGTTGTATCTGAAATTGATGGAAAAGGCAAGGTGCCTATTGCATTTTGGAAGGTAGAAGCCAATAGCTCTTTGTGCACATCAAAACCAACGATAAAGAGCAAATAGAAGTTAAGTTGGCTAATCATTTGCTATTAGTTTTGCATCCATATTGTAGTCAAGTTGGTTAATCATTCGCATTACTCATTTAACTAATTCTGTCAAAATAGTTTCAAAATATATCATAAATTTTGAGGGTATATCTATCAATTCATCATCAATAATATCATAAATAGGACCCAATAACTTAACAAGAGAGGTATATGATATTTTGTAAAGTTCGAGAGAGGTAGGTGAGATCGTCAGATTACTCATTCGTAATGTTCTTTTGATAGCTTCTGAATCGTTGGTCAAGGCCTATTGGCATCTTTACCAATTGCAATCCCTTTCTTGAGGTAACAGTCCTGTACTCATTGAATCCTTCAGTTTTTCAAAAATTAATTTTTTAAATATTACAAAAATTTTTAAAAAGTACATTAAAAAATAATCTAAATTTTTTTAATATTTAAAAAATATCTAAAAATATACTTTAAAAATCTACTACTCTTAAATATTTCAAAATATTTTTTAAAAATATCTCAAAATATACTTTAAAAACTCTATTACAATAAAATTTTTCAAAAATATCTTAAAAAATAATTAATCCAAACGGAGCCAAAATTGTTATAAGTATTTTGTTTTCAAAAAAAAAAATTTTCTAACAACATTTTTTTTTTCTTACGTACATCCTACAGAACAATACAGTCAACAATACAAAATATTTATTTTAAAAAAATCTTCAATTTGATTTGCAACTGTACGGCCTTGATTTGCCGAAAGATATTTTATTGTAAACCGTCCGTAATAGTTTCAAACAGCTCCTCAGATCGGCTCCCTTTCAGCAGACTCGCTCCTATTGCACCTAAAGTCCTAAATGCAGTTAGTTCTTCCACGAGCGTTTCATAACTTTTCCAAATTACTCATCCACTCGGAAGCCGATTAGAATGTCTGCTTTAGAATTTTGCTTTTTATAAACAAACACAGGCCTCCTTTGATCCCAAGCAAAAGACTCGCATTCATTCACCAACTTGTCCATTTCGCAGACCATTAAACACCAGATTTTGTAGCGTTAATCTTTTCCGGTACAAAGGAGGACCATGGGCCTATCAGCTAGGGACTGACGGCGGAATGGAAATCCCAATTACATCATACCTGAGCCCCTTCTTTCTTGGGTTGTGTTATCAATTCCGGCCATAAGCTGACTTGAAAAGAGAGATCAAAGCATGTAACCAGAAATAACTGCAGAGTAATCATTCAAATATTTCCTTCAAAGCACTAATGGGATTATGGAATTAACCCACAGCTAGTCTAAAGCATCTCCAATAGAGTCAATTTGAACAATGCCTACAAAGTACAAACAAGGGCTCGAAAGTTGCTAGTACGAGGCCTGAGGTCACCTCGGACTAACTTGAAACAACATTTTTATCAGTTGATTACAACATACTATTGTTGTCCTATAATTTGTCACCTACATAACACCAAAACAACCTGCGAGCTACATGTATGTTTCAGATATTAATTGAAGTTTCCCTGCTACCATTGCATGCTGCTAGAAGTCGCTAAAAACGAAGTCCTGCATAAGAAATACAAAATTGTGACCGCCATGAGCCAGAAAATGTCAATGCTTCTTTCAATCAAGGCCCGGTAAAAAAGCATGTCATCAATTCGGGGACGTCCGTCAGTATGGACTATAGCGCGTTGGACGCCTATACCTCGGAACCCTCCTGCATGCAAAACAAAGTTTAGAAGAGAATCCCAGCTACTGCAGGATTTTCTTTTCCTTCAACAAAAGTATGAAAACCTAAATTCTTAAACCAGAAAATGATTGCAGCCAATACTTTGATAACAAAAGCACAATCCAACAGGCAATATTTACCCATAACTATATGACTGGTGGGAAAGTGGGCCTGGCGTGAAACCCCTCCTGAATGACGGCCTTCCTCTGTGCTGTTTCATTCCAGGGATATTAGTCCGCTTACGCATTACCTGTAGGAAATCATGAATGTTGTCTAAGTGAAAACCGGAGGTTAAGATCATAAGTCTTCAAGCAGGAGACGTTCAAAACCTTAATTGGACGACCATGCAACTCCGATTCATTTAGCATGAGAGCATTTTGAACAGCTTCAGTTTCGACAAACTCCACATAAGCAAATCCTTTGGGTTGACCAAATTGATCTGTCAGTATTGTCACACGATTCACTGTACCACAGGACAGGAAATGTTGCTGGACTTCCTCAGGAGTACATTCATAGTCCACCTAACAAGTGAAGAGGGCAATTAAAAAACAAAGTTGACAACGAAATCCCAGTCAATATAGCCTAAGAGGGAACACAAACAAGGCAATCTCAGTTGCAAGACCAATTAAGTTCTCATGGCATACAATGTCATCGAACTGTGAACTTGTACATTCCAGTTATGTTGACATTGAGCAATATCCTTCCTATCAGTGGTGATACCTTTGATATAAAGCACCACAACCAAAATTAGAGGCATGAAATCGGCAACCCTTAAGGATGCGTTATAATGAACCAACACACCCTCCTCGTGAAACAATGACTAATGAAACGTAGCAAACTAGATGTAAAAGTTTAACATCTAGAAGACAATACTGAATGTTGCCAAACATGCAATCTGGCATAAGGCTTGGAAAAGCTGTTCTGTGACGGAGGCCTCTTTGTCATCAATACATAACGGATAGCAATACATAACGGATAGTAATTATAGTGACTTCAAGCAATTCTAGGAATTGTGCATAAATGACTTAGAGATCACATTCAAGAGGAAAAACAATCTACTATAAAGCGAAAGTCAGAGCTATAAGCTGCTCTTGATTGCTGCAATTTTCTTCTGTGTTTAAACACATTAGAAATTTTTCAAGAGTTTATGCAACATGTTAAAATCTATTAAGAATCTGAGACAAAGCATGCTTTGTTTCTTTTCCCCTTTTGTTTTTGTGTATGTGTGTCTGTGTTGGGGGGTACGACTAACTGCTTATTTTAGATACTTGAAAGTGACAGAGATGTAAAGATTTCCCACAAGTTAGTTGTCAGGGGTTAGATCATGTCAACAAGAAAAGAGATGATCTCACCACCTTATACTACTTACTTTCAATGCAACCCAGAAATTCTTGACGAAACAATAGTTTATAGCACTTCCATCGCAATAAGATGAAACCATCACATTTAGATTCTAAGAAGATTCCGTTCAAACACAGAATGAATGAATTTTAAGATGTTAAAAGGATGAAATTTCAGTGTGGCACATCTCCTTCCAACCAATCATAAAACCAGTTAATTTCTGTGCTACAGTATTGACAAAACTTTACTGTGGCAAACAAATGTTTATAAGCAACTTATGTAAGATGGGGTTTGAGCCTCACATTTCCAACATAGATTGAACGGGAATCCACCTCCTCTTTTTCAGACTGACCATCATCAGAAGCACCAGTTGAATTTTCATGACCTAGCAAATGTATATAAATCTTTCATGATAAGTAACCAGATTAATACCCAGCAGAATTGCAACATAGCAAGACGTCTAAGAGAACTAGAGAAGGTACAAAACATTAATCATCTGGAATTTGTAGATTGTCTACAGATGTTCAAATGAATTAAATATGTATATCCACATATAAAGCAACAATATTTATTCATCCTCAATGTTGAGAAGTGGTTAGCAGAAGGAAGCCAATCTAGAAAATAAAGACACGCGTTAAGCAATACTAGTCTCGGATTCCAATGAATTAGACTATAAGCATAACCCTTATTCAAATGAATCTAACAGCTACCACCACTTATCTGTCTACATTTGGCATTTTATTCCCTTCCTAATTTCACTTTGCTTTTCATCTCTTCTTCCTCTATTAACATTGCCATTAAAACCCAAAAAAATCCATCCTTCTTTCATGCTCTTTTCTAAAGATATCATCCATGGCTCTATTTACAGAATAGAAAATCTGAACTAATATCTCAAATGATCATTATCCACACATGAATCAGTTAAAGATATTCCAAACCATCCCTAGGGTATTTACTTGATCTGGTTCCAAGGCCCAAAAATTGTTTGCTCGTATATCCTACATGAATCGGAAACATTCTCCATTCATCGATACAATGACTGAGTATTCAAATTACCCAGGATGTGTCATTTGTTTTTGCCACATGTTTCATGTGGCACAAAAACATAAATAGCATAACTTTGACTTCCAGGGGCCCAACCACAACCATTTGCCATTGCTGTAAATGTTTCCAGATATCACACTATGCTTTCCTACTTTATATCCATACCAGCAAAACAACTATCACTATCTTCATAAATGAAATTACACATGAAGTAATAACTTATAACAGTTCATTGCTGTCAAGTAATGACCATACCAAGTGTCATTTTAACATGTTGCAAAACTCTTTTTGTCATCATATCTTATTTTCTATTAAGATGCACCCAAGCAAGAGGGCTGCCGCTCATTACTTTCCCTTTATAGCTTTTACCATAAATTTACAGAAGCTTGTTGGAAATGATGAAACACAAGTAAAGATTGCCAAAAAAAAACCCCCGGAAATGTATTATTATGACATCAAATATTTGGTTTCAATATGCACTTCTGTAAAAACATTGTGTGCGCACCGATGTGTTTTTGCAGGAATATGATCCGACTAACATTTTGCCCAGTGAATGTTAAAATGTATACAAATATTGGCTGTCGGTGTCTGTGTTTTTGTGATTGCATGTGTATGATTGAAGTAAATCTCACCTTCAGCAGCACCCCCAATTTCCTTCTCAATTAGGGCACTCTTTTGGCGGAGGTTGCCAGTCTCTTCTTCAATCTCCTTAAGCTTCTTCTTCACGTTCTCCAGCTCCTGATCACACGCCCAAAACGGAAAAAGGGAAAAAAACAGAAAAAGAACTAGGGCTAAGTATATTTGCCCTGATATACATTAAAAAAACATGTACCCGAACACTAATTATATACTTCAAAGCGCAGCATACGATAGAGATAGGAAAATAGACATATGCAGAACCGAGCTATAGTGAAGTGAAGCAAGAAAAAAAAGAGAGAAAGAAACCTCTTCTGTGCTTAGATTTTCAGAAACAGTAGTCCTCTGTGCTTCCTCTTCCTCTTCCTCATCGAGGGGGATTTCAGCTTCAAAGTCTTTCTCGTCTTGCTCATCCCCGAAGTAGTCAGGTTCCATCGTCGAAGGTTTCTTTGACTTCACTTCCCAAGAATGAGTTATGTATATATGAATGCAGGTTATCGGTATGGAAAAATGAGTTTCTTTAGGTATATATTAGCAGGCGTGAGAAATGATCGAGGAACTGAGATATGGATTAAATAGAGGGCGAGGGGCGGAAAATAATTGGATTTTTCTTCAGTAGAGGATGTTGTTTTCACTAGGGTCCGTGATGGAAGGAGCGGAGAAAGTCAAATTTCAACTACAGTCCTAGTTTACCCCTTGAATTTACTTTTTTTTTTTTTTTGTAACATTCTAGGCCCTTTAGGAGAAAGCAAAGAGAGAAAAAATTCTACTTCCAATACTACGGTAATGTTGTCTTATTTATGAAACTTACATCAACAATTAAAATTAAAATAAGACTAGAAAGTAAAACTAAATATACCTAGAAATTGCCCATGTTGTTTTCACCTAAAAAAAAGTATAGGCAATTTTTTGATATTTTATCATGAGATCGTTTTTTGATTAATATTTTAAAAATGGCTTATTTATAAATTTTTTTCTATAAGTAGGCTTTACATGCAGACTACATGTATAAAAAAGATTATTTTAATTTCGAATACAACTTGAATTACATTGTGTATTTGCTTGAAGTCCTTAAGATCGTCCAACAAAATTTTTTAAGGTGTAAATTATTTATCAAAAAATCTTTTTAAGTGATTGATGTTACTAAATTTAACTTAATCACCTCCTTTGCTAATCTACCACCATCTAGATACATATAATATACTAACTAATATTGGATTGTTATTTGGTTATTTTTGGGGTTAAAAAATCTCTTTTTGTTTGGGAACTTTTTGTTAATAATTATTAAAAATGTAAGGGTAATGGCATTAATTTGTGACTATTAAAAAGGACATCTAATCTTGTCAAGTGGATAGAGGAGGTAAATGAAATTTTAAAAATCTCAAAGGTGCTAAGTGATATTAGGAGAAAGCTTAGAAGGGGTTTTGAAATTATCTCAAAATATTTTCTAATGGTTTTCACGTTTGAGTTTTCCGTGACTTGACTCAACCCGGTTTACTCCCTTTCTTCACTTTGGGTTGGTTTGATGAGTTCTTCTCCTATCCCCCCTTCCGCTATTCGTGTTTAAATCGATTTCGATGGGCGGCTCAACTAGTAGGATTGATTTGGTCACGCTACTTAAAGGAGAGTTGTACAAAACAGTAACTAAAAATGCATCGGTAGCCTACACTATATTTGAAATGAAATGAATTTCCCCCTAAACTTCTCTCCATTTTCTTTCTATCAAAATAAAAATATCTAGAGGGGTCAGGGTTTTTCTAGTTCAATCTTGTGAGATGTGAATTTTGATTAGGATTTGTCTTGGGTTTTGTTTTACAAGTAGTTGCATCGCAGAGCAAATTATAAACGAGAAGTGTGGTTACCACCTCGGTTATTCAATACTAAGATGATTATCTCGGCTCTTTAGTTTCTTCAAGAATCTCGTTTTCGTCGTCTCGAGATGAAGGATCATCTCGGTTAATTGACCCAACTTCACTATTCTCTTGAGCACAGTTATAGACTCCGACACCTAATACCTTAGTGGATGAGATGACTAATAATTGACAGGTTGATGTGACCGCCCACCATCTTAGTGATCAGAATTATGTTTGAATATGTCGCTATAGCTTGTCATCTAATCATTAATCAGGCATAGGTATCAAATCCCGTCCATTGAATTTTCCCTTATAATTACTCATCATTATCTGCAAGTCAGGTACACGTTACGAACCATCCAACTACTTGTACCTTTAACCCTCGATCTATAACTAACTTCAGCATAGGAGTGAGACTGTAGACAAAACCCCAACCACTCTTGTATTTTTACAGATGAACTTGTGCTGTCGACTCGGCTCGGCAGCTGTCTTCTTTGCGACAGACACCGAATTATAAGGTTCGATTAATCAGGTGTCTAGCGGTTGATCCTATCACCAATTGAACTGGTAACAATCCGACCACTTTAAGTGAGCCACGACCGTCCTAGCTCCAAACAAAAAAGGTTGAGACACAACCATCACACTTTCACTCCCGACGACAAGACGGGCATGCGTAGCGCATGAAGAAAGTTGGGAAGGAAAAAATCTTACTAATCTCAAGATAATTATTTATTACCATGCAACTTCCACCATAACAATTTAATATATATGAAATAAAAACATAATTATATTTACAATAAACATAAAAATTTTTCTGTAAAACACCACAATCCAAACAAGACCATGAAGATCCTTGAACATAATGTGGTTTTAGATTGTTGTAGCCTCGAATCAACACATGAAAGTGTAAAAGTTGATCCCAGGTTGATCTTCTCTGGATTGAGGAGTTAGAATCAAAGCTGTATCTATACCGAATAAATCAGAAGAGAAGCGTTACATCATAAATGAGAGCAATCTCAGTTTTGCCGTCTTTGGGAGGCACACCCATCAACTACAAGCGTCCATCAGCAAAGCCGTTTAATGAGAGCGCAAGGTTCTCAAACTCAGACGAAGCACAATATAAATGTTTCCCAATTCACAAAAGGGTGACCAAAGACGAAAACGCTAAACTGCAACTTTCCGAAGGATTGAATGCCATCAGCCGGATGCAGTCAAGAGTCAGTAAATCCTCTTTGGGCGCCTAGATTAAAGACAGGTGTACAAAATGCATGATTCCAATCCATGCCATTTGGGCGCCTAGAGAGGGTAAGAGAATATCATTGTGAAATACAGGCAACTAGAAGGACCATGAGTATAACAAGAGTTCATTTTGTAACTGGGCGATTTGTGATGGGGTGAGAGTAGTCTAAAAAGACAACTCATTACTACTGAGATACAGGAAAAGGCACCACACTGAGAAGCACTACTTTTGGCTACAATAGCAGAGCCATCAAAAAACGGGTTGAAACCTTCACGTAATAATCAGATAACCTACAGAGATGCGTCCTGATATGTCTGCACAACAAGTTTGACATGCAGCATCACTTAGACTCCCAATCCTTTAGCTTCTTACTTCCTTTAGGTTTTGCTATAGGTGCATTCATTCCAGCCATCTTTGCATCGTACTTGATCCGCATGGCATCATTGAAAGTCCACCTGCACAGATACAAGATAATTATTAGTCCGTCATGGAAATCAGAATACTCCAATGGCAATCCAACTTCCAAGCACGTCATAATGGTTGCAACAAAGAACATAACACAAATAATTACATCTGCACTCAGAATCAAGACATCAAGCAGCAGAAAAACATAATTCACGACGAAAGGTCAAAATCAATTCACCAACAGGTGTTCAAAATCAACCATCTAGTATTTCGTCAGATATTTACTTGTAAAAGTAACATACTTAAAAACCTCTTGTAAAAGTAACATACTTAAAAACCTCTTGTGTGGTTGCTTCTTCAGATGAAGAAAACAATATGCACATCTCAGTGTCTCAGTCCAAATTGTCAGGATTGAACTAAGTACGAATGCAATCATTGAACTGTTTAGAATACATAATTTGTTTCAAAATTACCCATTTGCAGAGAGACACAAATAGGTCCTCACTCTATCTTCATTTACCATCATAAACACATAATTTACCTGCAAAGTTACATTTACTAGAACCTTTTTCTAGAACCAAGCAAGGAGAAATCTAGCATAATATAACGGTTGAGATGTATAGCAAAGAAAACTAGGATTAACATTTGTTGACACATGATAGCAAGCAATTATCATAATGCAATTTTGCAAAAAAAAAAAAGGTAACAAAACTATAAATATATACAACCTATCAGAGAGAAGTTAAAGTTTGCCTGTTCTGTATAAAGTAAAATTTTGCTTGCTTACTTTAAACTAGAAAGGAAAAATATTTTATGCTAACTTTCTTAATGGGCTACTTATTCCAGTTTCCAGTAGTGGAAAACTAGGATTTAGTCGAATTAAACCACATCAAGCATTCATTTCCATCTGGATTCAAGTACAGATTCCAATATCAGCAGTTAATGCAATTTGCAAGAAGAAGTACGTACGGATTGTTCCAATCAGTTGTATCCTCATTGACAAGATGTGTCCATTTAGTCCTTCCACTCCGACCAAAGTGCTTGACTTGCATAACTTTAGGTAGGATAGTCTTATCCATCTTATCCTCTCCAGTTGGAGCAGAGAAATCACGAGTGAAGATACCGTCCGAGCCAGCAGTTCCAGCACGATCATCAGCATTTGACTGGAAGAAAGCACCCTTGTGGTAGTATTTCTGCATGAATCTCCATTTAGGCTTTCCTGGTTTAGCAGGTTTTGGATTTTTCCTCTCCCACTCCCTCCTCTCCTCTTCAGTCATGTTTCTTACCTTCTCAATCTCCTCCCTCTCCTTCAATACTGCCTCCCTGTCATCTCTATCTCTCTTGATCCTCGCAATCTCTCTAGCCTTCCAGGCCTCGTATTCCTCTGCCTCATTCATTTCATCATCCGTATCCACATCAGCAACATTAGCCTCCAATTCCATGTTCTTCTGAATCTCTTCGTCCTCCCGAATCTTCTCAACTACAATTTGCTTTGTTTCAACTTTCCTCTCTTCCCTCCTCCTCTTTACCAACTCCTCAAGGGCCCTCTCTTCCTCCTCAAGCCTCTCACGCTCAGCAATAGTATCTCTTTCCGACTTAGGAACAAACACTGGCTTCACCATTGCAATACCTGGTTGTTCTTCTTCAGAGTCTGTCTCGTACTCAGACTCCTCCTCCTCTTCTTCCTCCTCTGCTTCCTCCTCCTCTTCCTCTGGAAGGAGTGCAGCTTCTTCTTGCTGCCTCAGCAGCAACTTTTCCCTAATTCTCCTCCTCCTCTCCTCTAATGCATCTTCATCTTCTTCTTCTACGTCCATCCAATCTTGTCTCCTATTCTCCTCCTCCTCAATCGTCGAAACAATCTCAGCTTGACGGATACGTCTATGATCAGCCCTAATCTCCTCACGATTATCAATCCTACTCTCAGCCAACCGCCGCAACCTAGGGTCATCTTTTCTAACAGCATCCAATGAGTCTTCATGCTTAGGGAAAGCTTTTTCAAGGGCAGCTGCCCTTGACATCCTAATATCTCCATCCTCATCATTATCATCAGCCCACTCAGGCGCTTTTCCAG